ACCATATTGAAATCAAATCTAATTTTTAAAATTTTTTATTTGGTGTGTATTGGAAAGGGCGAGTTTCTATATTTTAACTGGAAAAGTTGGGGGGTCGTCTTATACGCCAGGTCGTCTTATACGCCGGAAAATACGGTACTTAACTAAGATAGTTCCTTTCAAGATTACTTTTAATATGAATCACAAAAACAAAAGACACAGCAATTTACATAAATATATTCCCAGAGAGCTACACTTATGAAAATACTAGACATATTTGTTGTTGTTGTTGTTGTTGTGTGATTTCCAATTGTTTCCAACTTATAGTGACCCTAAGGTGACCCTATCATGGTGTTTTCTTAGAAAGTTTTTTCAGAGGGGGTTTGTCATTGTCATCCTGAGACTGAGAGAGTGCAACTTGCCCAAAATCACCCATTGGGTTTACCTGGCTGAGTTGAGTTTTGAACCCTGGTCTCCAGAGTCATAGTCCAATGCTCAAACCATTACACTATGCTGGCTCAAATTGCATAGAACTGCACATTTCCTCAAGAAATGACACACAAATGAATGGCTGTCCATCAGATGAACTCATCCACATTATAGAAGAAGTTGTCTATAAGATTGTGTGACTGAATCCCAAAGTCTCTACAGAATACCAAAACCAAACTTATATGCAGTAGCCATTAATTTCTAGGTAATACTTTTACTTTTTTCCCAATTGGCAAAGAGATCAGACAAGGCTGTATCCTTTCACCTTATCTGTTCAACTTGTATGCAGAACATATTGTAAGAAAAGCAGGCTTGGACACAGAAGAAGGAGGAGTGAAAATAGGAGGAAGGAATATCAACAATCTAAGATATGCAGATGACACCATAGTAATAGCAGAAAACCTCTGTGAGCAGAAAACCTCACAGACCTGGAACAACTATTAAGGAAGATCAAAGAAGAAAGTACAAAGGCAGGCTTAATGTTGAACATTAAGAAAACAAAAATAATGACCACTGAGGACTTTCACAAGGTCAACCTAGACAATAAAGAAATAAAAATAGTAAAATAATTCCCATACTTGGGATCAAAGAATGATAGAAATGGGGACTAAGAATGGGGAGGGTGGCAATGAAAGAACAAGAAAAGATTCTAAAATGCAAAGATACACAACTCAGCACAAAAGTTAGAATCATACAAGCCATTATATTCCCTATTACCATGTATGGATGGGAGAGCTGGACAGTTAAGAAAGATGATAGGAAGAAAATCAATTCATCTGAGATGTGGTACTGAAGAAGAGTGGTGAGGATCCCATGGACATCCAAAAGGAAAAACAGGTGGGTCCTAGAGCAGATTAAGCCGGAAACCTCCCTGGAAGCCAAAGTACATGATGTGTACTTTGGACACATCATGAGAATAGAGGACTCATTGGAAAAGACAATAATGCTGGGAAAAGTGGAGGGAAGTAGGAAGAGAAGAAAGCCACATGCCAGATGGATGGACTCTATTAAGGAGGTTCACAGGTGTGGGTTTGCAGGAATTAAGCAGAGCAATGGAGGACAGAGGGTCTTGGAGATGTCTCATCTATAGGGTCGCCATGAGTCAAGATCGACTTGAGGGCAGTTAACAACAACAACAAAATACTTTTACTGGAATTTAATACCTATCCCTAACAGACTTGCTACAGATTAGTACATTTATTAATAGTCAACCCGATCCAGGATTGCTTTCAAGGAAGTTACCTGAGAAAGAACTGACTTCCCTATTTCTTTGACCTTGACAAGTTCAATTTAGGCTATACCAGAATAGCCTCACAATTGCCAAAATTAAATCTCTTTTCTTCCCAGACACCATTTGTCCATGTCTACTTGAGCAATAGTTTGCTAACACCAGAAAAATATACATTGTACATCTCATCCACATATCCAGAGCTATGCTGGAAGACAATCTTCCTAAGTGAGAATCAGGTTGTTTAAAAATAAGTAAATAAATTAAAAAAAGATGGATAAATTAACTAGAATAGATCTCTGAGTTAGGATGTCAATTCAGGCCAACACTGGTAAAGGTAGTAAGTATTACAAAGCTCTGTTCTCCTCAAAGCCCAGAGCATTTCAAGATGTTAGGATGCTAATGCTCGAGTCAAGGCTACATGTTCCACTGTGTCGAACCAAAATATTTGTTGCTGTGTGTCTATGAGTTTTTTTCGACTTATGACAATTCTATCATAGGGTTTTCTTGGCATGTTTCTTCATAGGGGATTTGCCATTGCCATCCTCTGAGGCTGAGAGAGTAAGTCTTGTCCAAGACCACCCAGTGAGTTTCCATGGCTGAGCAGGGATTCAAACCCTGCTCTCCAGGGTCATAGTCCAAGGCTCACACTACTAAACCATGATAGCTCACCTAACCAAAAGATAACAGAAGCCAAAACAGAAAGTGTCCAAAAGTCTAGTATTGTATCTGGTCAGTCACCACTGGAGAGGCCTGGATCAGATAGATATTTGATCAGGATACTGGGTATTTAATATCTGCTGCACGCGTGTCTGTGTGTGTTTGTTGGGTGTGTGTGTGGATTTGAAACTATTCCTGTTTGTTTTTGTTGGATAATAGGTGAGGGCCATCAAATCTACTGTTAATCGTGTTGGAGCTGCTTTAAAGATGTTAACCATGTGGCAGCAAGGAGTACAAAACAGCACTAGGTTGAGGAAATTTTTAGAGATACTATATATTACTCTTTAGATTGCCTATTCTTAACTGAAAACCCATGAAGAGTTCAATTTAATATCTGTGCTCTGTTTCAAGATGGAACACCCTATCATGTTCCAGGCAAGAACAGCTAGTCAGAAACAAAACCATTCCTACCTAGAAGGATAAGAAGCTATTAGATGGGCTGTAGTTCTTGGTTGCTCTATCTTTTCCAGACAGTATTCTCAAATAATTATCTCTCTCTCAGAGAGGTTCCGAAACATGAAGAATCAAAGTTAGGTAATTACAAGGTAGTACACCCTGCAGTGGAACCAGCATGGCACAGTGGTTTGAGAGTTGTACAACGACTCGGGAGACCAGGTTTTGATTCCCCACTCAGCCATGAAATTCAGTGACCTTGGGCAAGTCACATGCTCTTAGCTTCAGGGGAAGGCAATGCTCTGAACAAATTTTGCCAAGAAACCCCATGATAGGTTCACCTGAGGGCCACTGTAAATCAGAAACAACTTGAAGGCATACAAAAACAACAAATACCTTGCAGCCATTACCAATCAAGTTAGCAAACTGCACATGTAGCATGGATTATCTCTTCCATATATACATGCCACTGAACAAGCACAAAGAAACATCTGTGAAGAGTCCTGACAGCTCCAGATTACCCACAAAAACACAGGAGATGAGCAGCTGGAAGTTTGCTCATCATGGTGGAACAACAGAATTTGCCAAACTGCAAGTGGCTAAAGAAGAGACAAAGTGCTTACTCAGTGTGCCCCCTGTTACCCAGATAACAATCAGTTCTGTTCAGAAATGTCTTATCTCCCACAATGTCACATTCAACATAGGGAGAAGGATCAGTACTTTGACTGCAATGGCTCCTTTTATTCAACAGCTGGTTACACACCAGCAACTTCCAGAGTATTTTCTGTTTACATTATATATGTGAAACCATAAATAGATACCTTACACAAATCCTTTCTTACTAGTAATATTTGACAGGATGATGAAACATCAAGATAAAAATAAGCACTATATTAGCCTATATAACGTGTACTAGGAAAAAAACTATAATATCCAGACATTATTTCACTGTTGAGCTCAATCTGATTTTGTGAAGTCACACACCTATGATCAACGAAGGCTTGAAATACAAATAAAAATTCTAAAAAGATTTTGCAAAGTACTTTGCTTTACCATTAAAGCATATATTGTTTTAAGACTTTAAGGTAACACCTTAAAAAGAAG